TTTTGATTTATTGTAGAGACGAGGTCTCGCCAAGTTGCCCAAGCAGATCTTGAACTCCTGGGCTCAGGCAATCCTCTCACTTGGGTCTCCCAAAATGCTGGGATGATAGGTGTGAGCCAACATGCCAGGCTAAATAAGCGATATAATTTAGCTAGCTTCTCAGACATCCATTCATCTTAGCCTCTGTAAACACCTTTACTGTGGGTTCTTTTAGAGCTCCAACAGCGAGGTTTGGGGAGGTCCCCTGGCCCTCATTCCTCACTGTCTTGGCCTTGGCCCCCTGGGATGCCTGCCAGGAAGCAGGACAGCCCGACTGGGTAGCAAGGCGCTTGTCCCCACGCACCCCACACATTGGCCAACGCCTCAGTGGCAGCCAGTTCTGACTTGGTGTCTTTGGGCAGCAGCTGCACCCCTGGGGGGATACTTCATGCTTGCTCAATTCTACAGATTTGCTTTCCTGTCCCTGAGATCTGCCCACATTTGAGGGGCTCAATGGGACCAAAGAGGAGCAGAATCAAACTGCAGATTTGCACCGAGATCCTTTGTACCCCTGCGTGGAGGCACAGCTGGAAATCCTGGGGTAAAAGTCACATTTAGGCTAATAAAGCATCAAACTGTGTGCATAACAAAGACGGGAAAGTGCCAGACAGACAGGACAGAACCCTCCGAGTCCCTGTCTCCTCCCGTCCATTCAAGGCTACCAGCTTCTGCGTGGTGTCCTGGCATGTGTCATCAACCTTATTTTTCAGTCTTGGGTTCAATAGACGGGGACCTCTCCTGGAGAGAGTCTAAACAGCTTGACTATGCTTATCTTGAGCTACTGAATATTTCAGACTCTCAGCTTCGTAGTTCTACACTTTCCCTAAAACACCTAAATGTGAGAAGAAAGACTGGTATCAGTTTCATTCCATTAGGGCCAGATTGATAAGTATTTTTTCTTATATTGCTGGAAGGGAAAAAAAAATTCCCACATAAACTTTGGTGACCTTATTCTGGATGCAGATTTAAGATAACTTTCCTGGGTGTACCACAGTTGACAAATGCGATAGACATGACCATCTGACGTCTTCCTGCATTTGTTAATCGCCAAGAATTGTTTGGGCAATCAGTCAAGATGAACACAAGAAAAGAAAGACACCCTACGTAGAAAGAGGGGGCAAGCCAAAGCTTTCAGGCTTGGGGGTCTAGTGTTGTGTCCTGTCTTTGCTCTTCACAAACATCAGCCAGACATAATCCAAGGCCTCATCTCTAAGTGGGCAAAGCTGCCAATTACTGGGAAATCTGTCCAACCCAGATCTCAGCAGACTTCCTCTACAAATTTGGACAAACCCTTCAAGTGGTCAAACGTCACTGCACCCTCATCTGTCAAAGGGGAATAATGTTAACAGTGTCTTTGTGATAGACACAAATGTGTGGCAGAATCCGTTAGTTCAAAACAATTCTGTCCTTGGACTTTGTCTTATCTTTGGAAAAAAAAAATGGGCACAAATGAAATTGAAAACCTACTTCCTTCACATTTTTAACAGGATGTTAAGTCTCTAAGTTAAATTTAAGCTCCGGCGTCACAGACACACTCATGTTATTTTTTTTTACTACTATTATTATTCAAAATTCTATAAAACCTATGAAAGACTAAAATATTCTTTCATTTTTACATTTTGTGCCATATGGGCCATGATTAAAACGACAAGTTCCAAATAACATGAATAATGCATCTCCCCTTTATTCAACACAAATGCATTTGCTCCTAAGAGATGTTTAATCCGTCTTTTCTTTCAGGAACAGAAAGGGAGGGGAAAGGATTTGTAGCGAGAACTGGTACTTCAGGAAAGACACATTTTTTGAGCTCGTGATGATCAAATAATTGCTGTGGCTATTTTTGGGTTCAGATGGGACTAGTGCATTTTGGTATGAATGAAAAGCAAATTATATTTCTGTAACATTCACGTGGGCTTCTTTGGGACAGAATCATTAAAAGTCACCCTTTATTCTGCCATGGACACAGGAGCCCAAGCTAGGACATCTCCATGGATATATGTCTACATGTTCACTCTAGGAAGCGCCAATCTACAATCTGCAGAGTGAGTTTCAGAAAATGGCTTAAGCTGTCACCAAGCTCTGATGGAGAAGATTTTGACACCTCCTGCCACCTCACTCGACTCTTCCATCATACCCAGCCCGCCCCTCCTAGAAAGTGCTAACACGAATGGCCAAACCCAGTCACTGTCATTGGACCACTGGAATGGAGTTCTGGGGGAGAGGCAGGTAAAAGTCACCCTCCCTGAAGGTTTCTGCCTCCTGTGTTTGTTCACTCCCGGTAGCAGGGCAGTTCAAAGGCCCTGGGGCTGCAGCTGACCCAGAAGCTCAGGGGCTGGTAGATAAGCTAAGCTTTCCCGTAGGCCTTTGTTTCCTTGGCACACTTTCCTCTAGATGTATCCTTTTGGAAGGCCAAGGCAGGAGGATTGTTTGAGCCCAGGAGTTCGAGGCCAGTGTGGGCAACATAGCAAGATCTCGTCTCTACAAGAAAATTTTTAAAAAAATGAATTGAAAGTGTGTACCTGTAGCCTTAGCTACTAGGGAGGCTGAGGTGGAAGGATTGAAGCTGAGACAGAAGGATCACCTGAACCCAGGAAGTTGAGGCTGCAGTGAGCCATAATTCTGCCACTGAGCTCTAGCCTGGGTGACAGAATGAGACCCCCCCCAACTAAAAAAGAGATGTATCTTTCCTTGCTATGGAGTGGTTAGAATACCTGGAGGGAGGTAAGACTGGGAGACAGGCACAGGGGAAGGGGAGGAAGGCTGCAAACCTGCATCTGGCCCTCACAGTTCCCTGAGCCCACCACCCCAGCTCAGAGGGAGACCCCTCTCAGGAATTTCAGCAGAAGCTCCAGGAAATAATGGAGAGCCTGTGTCTCCTGCCTCCTCCTCTGTGGGTTTCTCTTGTTTCTCAGGGACTGGGTAGGGGCAGAGGTCAATACGACAGGTAACTGGCTAAGACTTCCAAAGACTGGGTCTGATCTCTGTGTGACTTCTTGGCCAAAGGTCTGAGGAGACGCCCTTCTCTTTGTCAGAACAAGAGTTCACAGGTGCGTTTAAGTAAGACAGTAAAAGATCAGACCCCATGAGGCATCAGTCATTCAGGAAGCGGCTTCTAAGTTCGTTAAATCTCTCAAGATCATGGTGAGTAACAGCTATCAGCCACTTTGTGTTCTTAGCCCTCTGGCTGGGACAGTCTTTTTCTCGGGCTGTTCTAAACAACTAAGGCAATTCTGAACATTCCTGAAGCCTCTGTTCTTGCCTTATGAGAAGAACAAAAAAGGGTTTGTCCGAGGCCAGACTCCAGGAAAATACCCCATGGAGCCTACAAGGAGCCCATGATTCCATGACTTTTCAGTCTGACATGAGGAGAAACAAAAGGGAAAATTCATAACAAAAAGTCACCTGTGTGTCATGAACTAAGGTTTATGGTGAATTGATTCTGTGTATCTAGCACGCAACTAAAAAACAACCACATGACTTTAAGAAAAAGGCTGGCCTTCCAGCGTGCGTTGCAATTTCGTGTATAGCCCTAGAGAACCCATGAACAGAAAACACGGTCACGGTCAGCGCCTTTGCACGCATCACCTAAGGCTGTTAAGGGCGCTGGGAAGTCTCTAGGCTCTTCCCAGCAAACGCACACTGAGCGCCAGCAAATCAGAGCAGCCAGGAGGAACTGAGGGATACCAGGGATTCTTGGACTTCAAGCGCGGGCCATTCCTCACTGCTGACGAGGGGAACACAGAGAACACAGTCCACGGTGACTGCCATTGTGTTCCTAAATATGCCCAGCCCTGAGAGCGATGTTTTATAGAATGAAACAGAAGAAATTTCAGCCCCGGGTGACGCCATCTAATTGCAGAATTGAAATGACTTTAGAATCTTCAAAGCACTGAAATAAGGATGAATCACGTATTCATAACACGTCTCTTCATAAACCATGCACTTTCAACATGAACCTAAGCCTTCAGAGTAAGGGTCAAAATAACCATGTGAAATTCTTATGATAAATAATAATCACGAACAGGGATGCTTGGAAACGGGACTCATCTCACTCTTGACCCAAATGGAACATTCTCCCTCTCCTTGACACACCTTCCAGATCATTCCACTGGACATAGGAAACATTGCTTTGTTTCTTCTGAATTGCTAAAACGACTGTACTCCAAAATCCTGTAGCTAAGGGTTAGACGAACTCAACTTACTTGTATGAAACATATAAATACATACCTTGCGATAAATGTTTAACTGTATTGATGCTTTTAACCTTTCCCATAAATATAATTGCCTCTACAAGGGAGTTTTTCCATGAATTATCTAGTTCAGTTAAAGTTTTAATAATATTTTGAATTTCCTTTCCCTTTAATTGGAGAACTTATATGCTTTTGTGTCACTGACAAATCAAAGCTTCAAAATATTGAAGTTTCGGACACTCAAAATATTTCTTCAACACATGTTGTTGGAAGAACGTAAATGTCATGGCATTGTACTACAAGACTCCAAATCACCCTTTCCCAAGGAAGCAAAACCCCGGAATTTTACAAGAGGTGTCCAGCGGAAGCTTACTCAGGCTCTAAGAGATGAGAGGAAAGGGGTGGCCTTCTGTTCAGGGCACATGACCTGCTACCACACTCTGAACCCTGCTCTCTGCCAACCACGTCTCAGAACAGAGACCGATGCTGTCGGGAAGGTCCTCCCCGAAAAACAGGGATGAAGCAAAGACGTGACCGAGGGTCCACGCACGTCAGGTGGTTTTGCAATGAGGGTAATGAGATGAGTTCTCGCAAGGCCCAAGGCTTCCCAAGGTCTTGCTTTTATGAATATCGTTAGAATGAGTTGTATAGAATGCAATCTACGGTCTGTGAAATAACATGATTTTCGTTACCAAGCTGGGATTATTTCGAGTCACCACATAATAGGATTCAAAATCAAAACAGCTGGAAAATCCAACCGTCTGGTCTAACCTGGGATGCTCTGTCTCCTCACAGCCAACGCTCCATCGGGCGGCTTGGCCTGGCTGGCGGATTTAGTGTAGGGACTGTCATCTGCAAAGGTACAATGAAGGCTTTGGTTAATTTCCATCCAGTTTCCGGCACGGTGAAGACTCCTAATGGATTGCACTCCTTCTGTCAGAGAGAGGTGCTAGGTTCGGGGGAAAGTCAGTAGACCTGCATCCTCGACTTGGGTCATCTGTGGGCTGAGCCCTTGAAAATGCAGTTTCGTCCCCTCTCAGTGGGGATACACTTCTCCTCTACCTCTCGGGGCTGTCAGGACCCAAAGCTACAGTGCATGTGAAGATGCTTGTGAAATGGCAAGAAGTACACAGATGGGGTGTATCTGCCTCATCGGGAGTGTAGACTCATCGGGATAGTGAATATGTACGACAGAAAGTGAAAGAAGAAGTGGTGTGGCCCGCTGTGCGCTAAGAGTAACCAAGGAGAAGAGCAGAGGGGATAGAGGGCAGCGTTCCAGAGAAGCAGAGGATTAGTATTGCAGGGAATAAAGACACACGGAGTTAGTAGGTCTTCCTGGGAGCGTGGCTCAGCCTCGCGTGCCCAGCAAGGGGGGCGGGGGTTCTGAGGCAAGACCAGGGGGGAGGATGAGAACAGGGGAGGAACGGGGGTTGGTGGAGGAAGACGTGGATTGCAAGGAACTTCTAGAAAGAGGAAAATAACACGCAGAATCGTGAAAAGAGCAACTGAGAAGACAGAAGACCTACAGCTGTGAGAGTGAGACAAGAAGCTGAGAGATTCATCAGTGGGGGATACCAGAGAGGGGGTGGGGCTGTCAGACTCCAAGGAAGGTGATTGTTTTTAACTTAGAATGGGTAGAATCTGGATTGAGAAGAGGGAGAAGTGCTCTAGGATGGCAAATATAGAGTTAAAATTGAAAGGAATAATTCTTCCTGACTAGGAGGGGGCATTCCTGCAAAGTAAAAGGGATGTCTGAGTCACAACATTAAACATTTCCAGAAGAGGATCCACACGGCTGGAGTCAATGCCATGTAAAATAGTTATCCAGCATGGTCGGTCAAGCCAATGGCCCACATGGCACTTCTGGTCACCCTCGATGATGGATCGCTTTGTTGTTTTAACAGAAAATTATTAAACAGTTAAAAAGAACCACATCGTGCATGGAAAACTATTCATCAGAACAAGTATTTAATTCAGAACAAGACTTGATCACTGAGAACATGAATTCTCCCAGCCAAGCGGTCTGCATTTCAAAATTGAGCAAGTCGTTTCCTTTCTAGAATGTACTTCTGGTTTGAAATGATTCACGATTTCTTCATAAAACGAACAAGGTCTTTATCGGCAATGACGGAAAGAAAAGATTAACACTGCTGTGCGCTGCAATTAACGCCAAACAAGGAAGCCACGTGGCTGCATGTTTGTATTTAATTTGTCACACTGCTCTTTGTATTCTTCCAACTGCAGGGATACACTGCCAACTTTCAGACACCAACGCAATGACATCGTCATTTTTGCTTTTGAGGCAGTATCGCAGGTCTTTGACTCTTCTCTTTGCAAACACAATTTTGAGTATACTCAAACCCACAAAACAAAATGCTCCATTTGCCCTATCATTCCTGCCCGCGTCTTTGAGTGCTTTCCTCACAGTGTTAATTTAATATCCAGGCAATATGCTTCACACAGCACCTATAAAAACAAACGCACTACGTGTGACAATCTGCATAAAAATATATGTCCTTTTATTATCCAAAACTTTGAAATTGTGTAATTATGAGTACAGAGCCCTGAGCCAGGACATAATCCAAACAACAGGCTTGGGGACGGCATCTTGGAGACCTAAACACTTTCCGCAGTCTCCAATTTGTCGACTCCAGCCAATTAAAGGTTTAGGTCGAATTCTGTGTTGTATTTTTTAAAGGGCAAAGAGATTTGCCCAGGAGACTCTGGGGATACCTGCATTGGCGCTCTATTTTAAGGAGCTGTTTCTTTAGAAATTCACCCAGTTTGGGTTACAGAAGCAGTCAACCCTGGCAAAATGGTTTTCTCATTTATATTTGAACACAATTTCTTCGATTTGGAACAGAGAGTCCAGTCGCGCACACCCTTGAAAGGCTGAAACTGAATTATGGATGATGCCGGGGATGGTTTCCATAGCACCACCAGCCTCAGCCTCACCATAACACCAAGAGTGCCCTGGCTGAGCATAGGTGACAGCAAGTAGCTACCTAGACACCAAATATGAACTTGGTCAAAGGATCAGATGAAAATAAGTCCAATGTTATCTAACAACGGCTTGCCAAAGTCAGTCACAGTGAAAGCAATCGTTCCTAGCAGACGTGAGGCAGACACTTAGCATGGCGACACTGACCCTGAGGGTTAAGGGTAAGGAGATCATGGTGGCAGGGTTGAGAGGAACATGGAGACACTGACTCTGAGGACAAGAAGAACATGGAGACACTATCCCTGAGGATAAGGGGAACACAGAGACACTGACCTTGAGGGTAAGGGGAACACAGAGACCTTGACCCTGAGGGTAAGGGGAACACGGAGATGCTGACCCTGAGGGTAAGGAGAACACGGAGACATTGACCCTGGGGGTAAGAAGATCATGGCAACACTGACCCTGTGGGATACTGAGCACATGATCCGTGTTCTCCATAGCACACTTCTCCTCCTTGCATATAACATCCTAGAATGTCTTGGGAGTGTCCATCATGGCCATCTCATGTGTTCCTCACTGCAGACTTATGAATACAGCCCTAGAATTCCTGCTGACGGGACAATGTAGCCCACTTTGTCATCACCACTGGGACTAAGGCCCAGAAATGTAAATTGGCGTAGGGACGCACATCCCACGGAGCCCAAGGGAACTTCTCCATGTTCATGTTCATGCTCTTTGTTTCTGTCTTATTTCCTCTTGGAGAGACCACAAGATTCCACAGGGCACTGATGCCGTATCACACACATCAGTGACTGGATGCATCACACAGCGGACACCTTGGATGGCGAGTTGATGCCTGGCAACACCAGTGAAGAGTGAAGAGACCGCCCCCTCCGCCCCACCCATTCTCCCCGTGTGTAATATAAATCCCCTCCTCCCCAAAACCCCATGCTTGTTTGCCTGAAGGGAAGAACTTACAAAAGGTCCTGCAGAACCAGACTCTGCATCTCAGTTCACTCTTTGGAAGATAAAGGTTATAAGAAATGCCAACATGGCTCGTTGTATTTCCCAGAGGGAGCCTTAAATGAGTCACTGGACTATAAGGTCACTGTTCATACTTTTCCTTTGCTTTAGGGAGAGATACTAACTAGACGTTCAAGTTCCATCCAGACTTATAAGTGAACACACAACATGTCAAATGTCAAGGAGAGAAATCAATCAGTAGGTGATGTGCCCAGGGCAGGACCTGGCTCAGGACAGGTATTCACTCCATGTTTGCTGATGGATGGATGGATTATATTGTTTTTTTGAACTAGAGCATTTATTGTAAACAAACATTTGTTATGAACTACAGCCCTCCGACCTCTGATTTGTTTTCTGGGTCTGCAGCCTATTCTGTTTTAAAGTTATATCGTCATGGCTGGGTGCGGTGCCTCATGCCTGTCATCCCAGCACTTTAGGGGGCCGAGGTGAGAGGATTGCCTGAGCCCACAGGTTCGAGACCAGCCTGGGCAACTTGGCAAGATCTCATCTCTACAATAAATTAAAAAGTAGCCAGGCCTGGTGGCCCTTGCCTGCAGTTCCAGCTACTTGGAAGACTGAGGCAGAAGGATCACCTGAGCCCAGCAGATTGAGGCTGCTGTGACTGTGAGCATGCCACTGCACTCCAGCCTGGGTGACAGAGTGAGACTCCTACTCCAAAAAAAAAAAAAAGTCATAGCATCACCCAACAGCTATGAAGTATTGAATTACTGTATGTGAAAAACCTGTGACTCTTCATAGAACAGAGACTGAAGCCTATTTCCTTTCATTTTTATTCACTATAGAAAGATCTGCTGACTGGTCTCTAAGATGAGGCCTTTAACCCAGGGGTCCCCAACCCTTGGTGGCGGACCATCAGTGGTCCGCGGCCTGTTGGGAACCAGGCTGCCCAGCAGGAGGTGAGTGGCGGGCAGGTGGAGCTCTGAATCCTGTCAGATCAGTGGTGGCATTCGAGGGATCTAGGCTGCAGCTCCTTAGGAGAATCTGATGCCCAGGAATCCCCTGGGCCCCCACTCCCCCACCTGCGGCAAAGCTGTCTTCCATGAAATCAGTCCCTGAGGCCCAAAAGGTTGGGGGCCGCTGCTTTCCGCAAAACAATTCTGATCTTCCTCCTGGATGCTCAGCCTGGACGCTGCTGGTGGATCCTTGTGGAAAGTCACCAAGGAGCACAGCAGACATCGACCAGCGAACGAGCGCCTGCGCCTAGAAGTAAAGCGAGACATCACGGAGGTCTCTCAGGGATTGGCACTGCTAGCCGTTCCCACGACAGCGCAGCAACTGGATGGTCACTCCACACACGATGCCTCCGCTGTCACAGGGGCCTGCATGTCACTCACAGCCAGGAGAAACACGGGTGAGACACTACGAGGCCAGGGGAATGCCCCTCATTACCAGGGAGAGTTGACTCGGCGACACAGGCTCAGAAAGGGCTTGGTCCCGAGTGCATTTGGACCAGAGGCGGAACAACAGGGCCCATCTGTCCCTCGTGTTCCCCCATGTGGCCAGTCTCCTTGTGTGCCCAACATAGGCGGGGCACACACACATCGTTGGTTGTGACCGCCTATCCCAGGGAAACTGGCATTTAGAAGTGTAGAAAGCAAACAGCTGGTGCCTACAGAACAACGCTTGGTTCTGCATCCCAGACAGAGCCCAGCCGGGGCTGGGAGAGCCACACGTCGGGGCGGGAACTCAGGCACCCCATACTCTGGAGTCCCGCGGCCACTGGTGTCACACACAGTGTACCCTGGCGTGCCGTCACTCCATCTTCCGCCTCCCTCGCTGCTGGGGCCTGGGCTTCCCAGGAACCAGACGTGATTGTGGATTCAGGAGTCTCTGACTGTGTTCAGAGCTTTGCTGAAGAAAATCATGT